CCTTCAGTTCCAGGGAACTTCGTTTTTTTCTTTGATGTCTTTCACCTTCATTCTCTCATTCTCTCTGCCCTCATTTCTGGAAAATTTAAATATTAGACCTCCTGGATAAATACTTTACATATCATATCTTTCATTTAAATTTCCCAAGTCTTTGTTTTGTTTGGTTTTGTTTTTCTTGGTCTACATTCAGGTACCTGTTCCTTGACTTTGCTTTCTATTTAATTTTTCTTCTATTACACCAATCACATTATTTTACTTCTAGATAAGATTGGATCTCAATTGTGTTTTTTTCTGGTTACTGCTGCAGTCATAATTCTCACCCTTGGTTGCTGTTTTATAAATCTCAGTACATGAATTAATTTGCCTCTTGCATTACTGTAATTCATTTCATATCAGGGGCTATTTATTCTGATGGCTCAGCTTGGTTACCCTCTTTTGAGGTGTTGATTTGCCCATTTCTTCCATGACTTTTCTTTTTTTTTTTTTTTTTTTTTTTTGTCTGTTTATGTGTTCTTCCTGGCCCTTCACAGTTTAGGAAGACAACCAATTTTTTTCATCCATGTTAGTATGTGGGCTTAAATGTTTTACTTCTTGGCCAGTGATCACTGTCACTGTAAAACACGTCCACTTTTTTTTTTTTTTTTTTTTTTTTGCTTGCGAAACCCTCTATTACTATAGGTGTCCAGCTGGAATGTCTGCTGGGTCCAAGGTGTCATGGGTGTCTTCTATGTGGTGTGCTAGGGATGTTGCTACAATGCATCATGTCTTATGGCTAGGGCTAATAGCCAGTAGAAGAGGTTTCTGACAAACAGGCATGATTACAGGGCATCCTATGCCACACCTTTCCTGGGAAGAATACACTCCATGGCAGTTCTGGGTATAGTTTTATGCACAATCACCCCCACAGCAGCCATACTTCTAGGGATCTGGATCAGAACTGGTTTGCCATTTGCCTCTTTTCATCGTTGAGGGACTATCTGGCTATTACCTCGACTCTTGGAAAAAAGGACTAATTATGCTATTCCTATTCTTTACAAAAATTATGTCACGATTTTTTTAATGTCATATATTTTTCAATTTTTAAAATGAGATATACCATAAATGACAATAATAAATCTCATGAACACATATAAAATTAACAATAAAATAAATGGTCATGTTTCTACCACCTAACTTAAGAAATAATATCTCGTGATTCTAAGCTGATGCTCCCGCTCCGTTTTTGGAAGTCATGGGTCTGAGGTGGGAAGTATAGCCTTAGTGATGCCAAAGTAGCTTTCTAGCACCTCTTTCTGAAAAAACAAGAGAAAGGTAGAAATGTACCATCTAGAAGGCATACTTGGCTATTTGTAAACAGAAGCCTAGACAGTTATGCTTGGTGTCTGGTGTGGCTGTGTAGGTCACCACTGGTGTTTCCTGTGGCATTTCTCTCTGGGCCACTGCTAACTCACACAGCACCTTTGTGTAAATCAGAAAAAAAAAAAAAGCCACTCCTGCCATTTGCCGCAATTTAAAAAATAACAATATGCACAAAAATCTATAATGACTATGACTGTAACTGGTGCCCCCTAGAGTTTACAGGCCACAACCCACACAACCGTAATTCAAGGTAGACATAGCACATGGTACAGGGCTCCTCAGGTGGGCTTCATCACTTACTGAATGCCTACTGTGTGCCAGGAACTCTTTTAGATTCTTGGCAGTCAGTGTTGAGAGAGACAAGATCTCTGCTCTTCTTGATCCCCCACGACTGGACTTCTGAATAGGCTGTTTTGTGAGTGCATGAGCTGTAGTCAACTATCAAGCTGGAGTTGTTCTTAAACTGGGTCGGGGTCCTGTGGTTACTAGTAAAAGTGAGGCAGAACTTCAATTTACTTAGCATGCTACTATGCCAAGTGAATCCCAAGAGGTCATGTTGTACTAAGCTGATGAGTTCAGAGATCACATGGAGTTCTTAAGTTTATGATGACCCTACGTCCTAATTTTGCCTGGACAATCCTAGGTTAAGTATCTTATCCCCATGTAATTAGTAATATAACCCCTTTTCTCTCCTAAAAGTGTCCCAGCTTTGGACGGTAAATTATATGATCACATAAATTACCATTTTTTTTTCTGTGCCAACATCCCTTCAAAATTCTAGGGACTTAATACACTAAATATTTAGGTTTTGCTAATGGATCTGTGGATCAGCTGTAGCTTTGCCTCAGGTTGTCAGTCATGTTTAAGTTTACTCCTTGTTTTGGTCTTTGGGCTCATGCCACAAGTCTTCTCATTATGGCAGTCAGGCTGGAAGATCAGCTTTTATCTGAGAGCTCTTTTTCTCATGCATAAGGTGGGATCACAAGGGACCTTTGCTTCAAGGTGACGTGGGCCATGTTCACTTGTATTTCATTGCCCAGAGCAAGTTGTATGCCCAAGACCAACATTGAGGATTGGGATTTATGCTTCTCCCTTGGAGAGGAGCCCTGTGATAGGTCAGAGTGTCTAATAATACAGTTATCTCATCACATTCCTAAATCCTATGGCTTCCCAGTGTGCCCCTCCTCCAGCCTTTGCTGGTGGTGGTCTCCTAGTAGTGTCTGTGTCAGGACAGAGCTGAAGTGATTAACAGAATGTAGAGAAGAAGTTCTGTCTCCGTTTAGACTGTAGAACGTATTAAGAGATTTCACTGCTATGTGGAACCTGTTTTGTGTTGGAGAGGGTGGGGATTGATGTTTGCAGCTGGATTATCTGGGACAAGGTTTCCTCCTTCCTGGTCCCCCAGCACTATCACCCACCACAGAAGTCTGCACCAGCATATTGTCTACTCTCCTGTGTGAGTGGTCAGAACCAGGTGGAGTCTGGGGTCAAACCATGCCCTCTCCACCTCATGCTGGGCTCTGTGAGGTATAGTTCCTATAGTCCCTTTTATTTTTACCCCACTGACTCCACTCCCTGTCCCCCATCCTTGCCTGTTGCTCTGCACCTGGGATTTTTAATTTTTATTTTCTCTCAGTCTCCCTTCATTTGCCTGGGTTAAATGTTCAACACTAACTGCCTTTTCTTTTAAAACAATTCCAGATATTCCTCAAAGTTAGTGGTTAACTGATGAATTGATGATGTCCTTTCTTATTTCCCATTGCTTATCCCATTTCTGTGGGATTTGAGGAGACAAAAGTGAAAAAGATTTGCACAGTTACCCATATTGAAACTTCAACCCCAGTATTTTCAAACAGAGATATAATATTGTTTCAGTAGAAGGGTGAAGATTGATTTGGAGGCAAAGAGGAAATATGTTAAATCCATCAACAGCCCTGGCAGCTGGCTTACTTTTAAGAGCAATTTTTGATAAGCAGTTTTATCAGTTCACAAGAATGACCAAGTACCTTCAGAGTCATATTAAAAAGCACATGGATGGTAGTTGTTCAGCTTGACTCAGTAGGTAAGTGACTTGCAGGAGGAGTTCCTATGCATGCTTCAGCAGAAATACAGCTTTGTCACAGATCATAGTATGTTGGCAGTGCTGTGCACAGTTGAAATTGTGAGTACTAAATGACCAATTTCTAATTTTCTCCTTCATTAGAATATGAATATATGAAGACATAGCGTGCGCCTATCATATTCCTCATTGTATCTCCAGAGCTTAGTGTGGCACTTGGCATGTAGTAGGCATTCAGAAAACTTTGGTTGAAGCAATGTAAATATTAATGATGGGCAGTAGAGGCAAACCCTGGGGAGAATCCATGGGGCTCCAGGTGTAATGAAGGACCATAATGACAGGCAGGGTTGTCCTTTAAAAAATAAGGATTTTATGGCTACCATAGTGCCAGAAATGCTTTCAGATTGATGCTCAGCCTCCTGGCTCTACTGTAGCTTGGGGCAGAAGCCTGGAGGGGGTGAACTGTTTTAAACCTTAGGGGCACAGTCACTGGATACTGAACTGCCAAGACTTGCTGACACCGTGGGGCTGTGGTCCATGATCCATGTAGCAGATGCTGTCATTACCTGCCGTGTCCCCTTACCACTTCATTGTGTGCCTGTTGACCTCCAGTGCAGCCTCTGCATTGATTTCGATGTGGGATTTTCCTGGCCACTGAAGCTTACTTTGTTCATCCGGGCAGGTGTCAAATGATGGGAATTTAATGCCCTTTGGGAAATGCCCTTCAATTAATAACTAAAGAGAGCTAATGTGTAATACCTCGGATCCCTTGCCACTTGGGTGAGGTATGTCTGAGGTGTATTAAACCTCCCTAGCAGACTTAACCTTTACTCCCTCACTATGGGAACTGACTTGACAGTGTACCTTTTGTTGACTTCCTTTTCTGGATCACTTCTCCTGTGTTTCCTTCTCCTTCTAAATGATGCTTTGCCCTTGAATACTTGTTTTAGGATATACTACTGGGGAAACCCAAACTATAATATTCTATCCTGAGTCCTGAGGACTTACCACTGAGTGGGGGTTATTCTTGAAGCTGCAAAATTCACAGAAGATTTGAGCTTCATTTTGCTTAGAACCGTAAAAGTTAATAGGAAAAATAGAACCCGAAAAAGCCCTCTAGTTTCTCTTATTTTAAAAAATTATGACTTACACAATTCCCTAGTTACATTATACAGCTCTCTGAGATGACAGAATAATTTTTAAGGACATTTGAAACTGCCCTGCTCAAAAAACATTAATGATTGGTGCTGCCTGTAGGATAGAGATCATTTCACTTGAAGGGCATTCTAGTCTCCATGAATGTATCCATTTTCTTGCCATAGCAGGCTGTTTATTGTTTCTAAACATGACCTGCATGCTATGGTACCTCCTCTGTGTTTCTGCTCACTGGTCCTCTGGTTTGTGTATGAATTCTCATCGCCACTGCCCCAGAATTAAGTAACCTAGCCGTGCGCCCCAGCATGACCTTCCACAGTCGGCTGCCAAGGGATGAGTGGATGAGAGGGTCATTCTGCCCATACTATGCAATGGGTGGACTTGCGGGGAATGATCACACTGACTTTTGATCTTTGCTTCTTTGCAGATATCTCAGTGAGCCTGTTGACCCTTGTGGTCACTGCCTGTGGTCTTGCTCTGTTTGGCGTGTCTCTCTTCGTATCTTGGAAACTCTGCTGGGTTCCGTGGCGAGAAAGAGGCCTGCCCTCTGGTAGCAAAGACAACAACCAGGAGCCTCTTAACTACACGGACACAGAGACCAATGAGCAGGAGAACAGTGAGGACTTCCTAGACCCTCCCACACCCTGCCCTGACTCCTCCATGAAGATCAGCCACACCTCCCCTGACATTCCCCTCTCCGCCCAGACGGGAGTCCAGGAGAACTGTGCCCATGGCGTCCGCGTGCAGCGCCAAGTCACAGAGCCAACCTCCTCGGCTCGGTCAGTAATGCCTCCTCCTTTCTGAATGCAAGGAAGGACCACCCCATTCCCCTCTCTGGCAAAAATAGCACTGATTGGTCAAGGAGTCTATAACCTTTTAGATTTCTGTTCTGTATCAGAGACATGAATATGGAAAACTCCATGCTAACCTAACGTTGAAGTTAGGTTCCTGAGCCCTTCTTGGTCTCTACTTAGTTTATAAAAATAATAGTTAACATTATTAAGACAGCATGTGTGAAGTACTCTGGAAGAACTTTATATTCATATTTTGTTATAGCTCACAATTTAGCATGAAATGTATACTAACATCATTTTTATTTTACAGCAGAAGAAACTTAAGGAGATTACATTTTTTTTAAAAGCCATATATGTAAATACCCAGGTCAGGATTTGAACCCTGGTTCAACCAACACAGGAATCTGAACTCTTAACCACTGTTCCCTGCTGCCCTCCTACTGCTTTAAAATTTATTCCCTGTGCGTCTGACCTATCCTAACAGTCACACACAGGCTCTCTTCAGACTCCACCGTGTGGCTGGAGGTTTTTGTCCATCTTCAGCCTTTGGAAGGCTTACAGAGTACCAACACCTAGGTCACTCTCTTTTTATTGTCTGGATGCTTTATGCTCTTCAGCAGTAGAGAAATAATATAATGCAGTGAAAAAAGATGCGGTCTCTCAAGTCAAATGAATTGGCTTTACTTACATGTGTGACATTGAACAAATTACTTAAACTCCATATCTGTCCATTTCCTCTTCTTCAAAAGAGGAATAGATACTACTGATTTGTAGGTGGTTTTAAGAATGAAATGATAACATGTGCTTGCACAGGTCTGGCACCTAGTAAAAGCTCCAAAATGTGAGCTACCATTTTGCTGTTAGTATTGCTATTATGGCCTCTCCCAAGGCTCAGACATTGCACAAAAGTGTGTTTGAGGCTAAACAACCAGTTCTAAATCACTGGATATAAAAACTCATTTTCAATAAGATATTTCATGAAAAGAGACTCAGGAAGCAGCTTTCTGTAGAATGAAAATATTGGCCTGAGTGATGGCCAGAGAAATAGCATGTGCTGTTACTTGTAAAGTATAAAACACAATTTGGAGGTATTTTTTAAAAATCTTTATTGTTTGTTCTCCAGAAACAGAAATAAGACTTTACCCTTTTTATGTTAATCGAGTTTATCCTAGAGGCTCCACTCATTTTCATTAAGTGGGATGGAATATGTCAGTTTATAATTTGATTGTTTCAGAAACTTATTTTAGCATTATTTTCCATTCTGAATCAAAGAGCCAAATCTAAAATATTCCACTGTGAGGAGATGGGTAGTTGTCTGCCATTTGATTTAGAAGAAATCCTCAGATTTTATCACTAGGATTTATCTTCAGATTTAAAACTTAAATATAACTAGAGCTCTGTTTGATGCTGTCATAGAGTTCATGCAATGTGCAGACTCATAATAAAATCCTTTCAGTATTTCAATAGCTAGAGCCTTTTAGATAGAGTCTCCATTGAAATTTCCTTCGAAATTGCCTCCTATTTGGTTCTACTCTGCATGTAACTTTTCTGGTCTGAGTTCCTCCAGTATATGGTGGTAGTACTGTGATCTTTTTAGATTTGATCTGAGGACTCTGCCATAATTTTAACAAACTAATAGCAATGATGCCACTCTAATTATCACAATATTTATACTGGAAAAGTATATAAATATACTGCATATCAATAAGTATTTGCTTAAAAAATAAAAACTCTTATCATCACTACTGATTTGTAGAAATTGGGTAGAAAGAAAAAAATTAAAAGGAAGAGTGAAGGAATTATCCCTGTAAAATGCACTTTGTGTCCAGATTTATTTTCGTTTTGAAGGCATGCAATTACATTATCTTTTCTGATGACAAAAATCAAGTTTAGGAACATCTGAACTACTATAAGAAAACTACTCTTTTCTAACTGCGTTTGACCTAATACTGACAATTTGCATTTTTATGCATTTAAAACATTCATACCTAAATTATTACTGACCTAGTTTTATGGGGTCTGTCTAGAAATATATATCCTTGTCTCAGGATCTCACCACAGTAAGAGCAGTACATGGTCTTCTAATTCTTTGGGGATTATGTTGTATCATGAGAAAATGCACACACACATACACACTTTTTGCTAACAAAAAGGAAAAAGAGAATGAAATTTCCTTTATGCCTCAAAGCGTTTTTAACATTCTTCTTTAAGTAATATTTTTGATACCCATATTTGGGGAGGGGAAAGATAAGCTTTGCTGAGAAAGCTCTAAACAGTCTGCTTTTCCAGTTACTGTTTCTTCTCCTTTCTTTCTCATTATGTTCTTTACTTTCTCCCTGCCGACACTTTCTTACTGCTTCCATCCTGCAGCCATTATCACTGTCACAGTCTCAGGGTTCCCATTGCACGTAAGACATAGCCTCCATTTAAAGGTGTCTTCAGGATCCTTGTGATTGGCACAGTTTCTGTCACACCATTTGCATCAAAAATCTCAACCTCACCTGGCCTCTTCAGCTTGGATGTGTCCTTGGATATGTTTGGCTGACACGGTGCCTTTTTGAAATGTCCTAAAGATGAGCTTTGTTTTATCTTCTAAGAATGTTTCTGGTCAGAATGACTTTCTGTTGTTCTTTCAAGATCAAGCATGTTCTGTGTCTAGTTACTTCAGTGACTCTAATACCATCCAAAATTCCTGTCAATTCTTTTTTATTTGAATGAAATCCCTTTTGTTTAGTGATCCAATATGCTGGAAATGTGGATATTTTAATTTTCTCGGAATTTTTTAATTCCAGAGCTTTATAAAGTTCTCTACTCCAAATGTATGAAAATCCCTAGATCCCCAAAATAGGAGGAACCTTGAAAGGCCATCTAATCCATTTCCTGATTCATGCCCTAAGATGAAAGTTCATCCTGTTTTTTTTAAGCTTTCTCAAATTTCTTATGTAACACTTCGGTTTTTTGAAAATTTCGATTACCACACCACAAACCCCTTATCAGGTCTGTTAAGGCCCTGCATGATAATACTGCCACAGTCTGCTTCCAACAGCCTTACCTTATGGCCAGGGCCACCATGTTGCAGGACCCTAGGGGACACTTTTAACATGAACTCACTAGGAGACTGCCTGGAAGAAGCTTGTTGTACTGCAGCTGCACTAGCTCCTCTCTTAGTTCCTTCAGCATCCCAAGCCCCTTCCTGCCTTGAGGTCTTGACACATGTTGTTCCCTCAGCCAGGAATGCTTTTCTTTTCTTTGTTTTTTTTTTTCTGTCCTTCTTGGGTCCCTTACTTCTCTAATGCCCTAGCTGAAACATCACCTTCTCAGAAAGGTCTCCCCGGCCACCCCATGTGAAGCCTGTGTTCTGTCCCCACTCCTTCCCACTTCAATTCTCCCTCGCATTGCCTTGTTCTCCCTCATTCACAGGATTAAATTATTTTAAGTGATTCTTTATTGCTTGTACTCCCCTCTAGACTGAGTTCTGTGAACTCGGAGACCACATCTGTTTTGTTTCTTCCTGTCTATCCAGCCCCTAGCACCACTTGGCACACGGAGGACTTTTTTCCATGAATGACTGACAGAATACATTGGTCAATATCAGGCTACTTTTCTCTTGCTCTTCTGACAAGAATGGCAAAGGGCCAGAAGTATAAACTGAGCAGAGCCTATAATGGTGTGAGGCTGGCAGAAGACCATTTGTCCCAGGTCTCACATTCATTAAGAGCCCCACATTAGATTTTTGACCTTATCTCTGAATTAAGCAATCCATAGAGTTACAGAAATATGCTGACAGAATTGAAAGAGGAAGATAACCATCACACTCTAAATTTAGGTCCCGTGATTGGCCACAACTCAAGTAAATAGTACACAAAAATTAAATGTTGTAATTATACTATGAGTAGCACATTTCTATTAAGTTATATTTTTGTGTGGTGAGAACATTGGTTCAATGTAAACATCTAAAACAAAAATTTTGAATCTGAAGTTATTTCTTTAGATTTAAAGAAACTAACTGCTTCAAAAGTGGAAGTTGCCTAGCCCTATCTCAACTTCCATGAGACCCTGAAATGATATGTAAATGAGTGTTTTCTCTACTGGGATTAAATTATCAGAAACTATTATATCCATAGCATTTCTGTATTTACTCTAAGATATCAAGCATTTGCTATGTGCAAAATTCAGTATTAGGTAGTGTCAATAAAGAGAAAATATATACAACCCTGCCCACAAAAGACCCACAGCAAGAGCACCAATTATACACACTGAAGTGCTCAATTTGTTCTTTAGAAGATTAATCTGGAAAGAATGTATAAGTGTATAAGATGCATGGGACAGTGGTGAAGATTGGATATATACAGGAGCCTCTCTGAGGGCCTGAACTCAGCTGGGATCAATGGTAATGAAAAGAGACATAAGACGTGAGCTACTGTAGAGAACGTTTTGGTGAACAAAGGCTCATCTTAGTTATGAAGGATAAAGTATTCAAGGTTTCAAATCTGTTTAACTTGGGAGGGAGTGGGAGGAAGCAGGTCTTGCCTCAGTGTATCCACCTACCCTTGACAACACACCTCCACTGGCCCCAAGGTCTGATGCCTGTCTCTTCATTATCTCACTCATGCGGAAATCCTTGAATCTTCAGGCCAAGAAAACCTCAAATTTCCACTTCCTCCAGCCCTTGTATTCTACTAACTGTGTCTGTCCCTATCCAGGATTTCCCCTTCTTGTGTCTGCCTGTGGTTCAGGACAACCCAACCCTCTCTTCTTCATGACCAGGGGAATTTTGAAGAAGAAAAACATCCTGTCTCCATTGTTTCTTTCCATAATTCCCTGCCTTGACTTGAACACAGGAAAGAAACCAGTAACACTTCTGAAACCACAATGTGCTTCTCTCTTTTTTCTCCCTGGATCCTGAAGCCTTGTAGACACTGGTGCCTGAGAACCAGGGAAAGGACAGGTCAGGTTTCACCTCTGAGATGGGCCACTGCAGTGAACGAACACATATTAGGATGCACTTGTTCATGGCTGCACATGAAAGCCCGCAATGGAAAGGGTGTTGGGGATATGAGTGCTGGCTTACAGAGCCTGGACTCAAAGATGCAGTGGGTGAATGTGAGGGACTCTGGAAAAAGCTACTGGGGCAAAAGAGCTGAAAGTACCATTCTGCTAGAGAACTGGGACCAAGATGAAAACAGATTTAATGTCCACATTGACATCTACAGCATCAGCTTGGAGGTGGCTTAGGATGAGGCCAAGTTAAGCAGGCAAGCCCAGCTCAAGTATCATCTCCTTCATAAAAATTTCCTCAGTCAGAGGTCTTTCTCCCGCTCTTCTTCTGAGGGGGGAACCATCAGTCAATGGCATTAAAATTCTCGACCCTTGTCCTGGGAGCCTCGCATTTACTGCACTCAAAACCACCTCCATTGACCATTTAGAGCCACCTCACCTAGGGTAGGGCAAGCTCAGGTCATGGCACTATATTCCGTATCTTTCCTCCCTCTTGCTTTGGGCTTGCTTTTTCTTCCCACCTCTGTTTGAGTAGCGTATGAGAGCTATAGAATATTGATTTTCCATTTTCTCCACCCCCTTTTCTCCTTTACATCCCTGGGGCAGTCTCCCTGCTCTACTTTCTTATTTTCAGCCCCCAGACCGCCAGAGGTTATACGGGAAGATTATGAGTTACCCTGGTTCTCTGGCTGTTCTAAGCTTCTCTCTTCTACCATGCCTCTCCCCCAACTCCAGTAAACTCTAACTTCCTTCTGAATGGAAATTGAAAGGGAGCCCCAGGAGTGAGAACCTGTCATGCCCAGTTGCAGTCTTTGCTATCTGCTTTAAGCCACTACCTTACAGTTAGATTCAACTGATTTCCCAATAGTAAGTGTGATTCTGAATGGAGGGGAAAGTGTTAGGAATGAAATTAATCATGTAAAATGTTTGAGTAGATAGTAGTATTCATATCTGTGACTGGTTTTTTGTTTGGTTGGTTGGTTTTTGGTTTTTGAGTTTTTTTGAGACGGAGTCTTTCTCTGTTGCCCAGACTGGAGTGCAGTGGCTCAGTCTTCACTCACTGCAACCTCTGCCACCTGGGTTTAAGTGATTCTCCTGCCTCAGCCTCCCAAGTAGCTGGGACTACAGGTGTGTGCCACTATGCCTGGCTAATTTTTGTATCTTTAGTAGAGACAAGGTTTTACCATGTTGGCCAGTCTGGTCTTGAACTCTTGACCTCAAGTGATCCACCTGCCTCAGCCTCCCAAAATGCTGGGATTACAGGTGTGAGCCATTGCGCCTAGCCCATAACTGTGATTGTTTTTTGTTTTTGTTTTTGTTTTGTTTTTTGAGACAGAATCTCACTCTGTGGCCCAGGCTGGAGTGCAGTGGCGCAATCTCTGCTCACCGCAAGCTCCACCTCCCAGGTTCACGCCATTCTCCTGCCTCAGCCTCCCGAGTAGCTGGGACTACAGGTGCCTGCCACCACGCCTGGCTAATTTTTTTGTATTTTTAGCAGAGATGGGGTTTCACCACATTAGCCAGAATTGTCTCAATCTCCTGACCTCGGATCTGCCCACCTTGGCCTCCCAAAGTACTGGGATTACAGGCATGAGCCACTGAACCTAGCCTGTGATTGGTTTTTAAGAGGTCTGCTATATTGGGAATTTTTGGAGGTATTCCTGTGCAATTGGGTTCTCAGGGAATGGGATCTTTTTTCAGTCTTTGACCTTTACCAACAACCCTGCCTCCCTGTTGGCAATCCACTTTGGTTAGGAAGGGCTGAGCATGTGGGACAATTTATCTTCAGATTTCATGTCTAAGAAAATGTACATGTAGAACAGAATATGTCACACTACTAAGTAGCCAAATCCATGTATTTTAAATCAAAATTGAAAGTATGGTGGCTGGGCACAGTGGCTCACGCCTTTAATCCCAGCGCTTTGGGAGGCCGAGGCGGGCGGATCACCTGAGGTTGGGAGTTCAAGACCAGCCTGACCAACATGGAGAGACCCTGTCTCTACTAAAAATACAAAATTAGCCGGGTGTGGTGGCACATGCCTGTAATCCCAGCTACTCAGAAAGCTGAGGCAGGAGAATCGCTTCAACCTGGGAGGCGGAGGTTGCAGTGAGCTGAGATCATGCCATTGCGTTTCAACTCTGGTCGATAACAGTGAGACTCCATCTAAAAAACAAAACAAAACAAAAAACACCACTATGGTAGATTTAATCCTACAGACAATGGTGAAGACAAAATGTTGCTGTGATTAATCTAATGCCGGTACTAAGAAAATTCAAAGGTAAATTGTAATACACAGTCTGCCCAGCAACCATCTGCAGAGCAGCAGAGTGACAGGGCCTAGGACTGACACGAGATTGTTGTCTGGGACTGGATTGTGTAGACACAGAATTGTTGGTCTTCCACAGACTCATCTGTAAAAGGAGCATCCGGTGGATATTGAGGATGCACTTTTATGAGGTAAACAGTGTCACTTACCAGACAGTACCTAGAAGGGTGGGAACTGATGCAGGACCCAATTATGGCCCTTTTTTTGAATCTAGTCTGTAAAGAAAAATCAATAGCAAAGGGAAATAGGGCTGGCACCAGCCTATTCCAACCTCTGCATATAGCAGGCTACTTTCTGCTGCCTCCCAGTCCTTTCTGCCCACAGAGTCCAGTAAAGTGAGACTCAAGCTCTATTCTAGCACTACATTGGTTCCACTTCTGGACAAAGGAATGACCTAGCTGCCCTAGCGCAGAAAGCCAGTTTTAGATGCTTAACAGCAACTCCTGCCTTCCCTCCCTCACCCATCCAAATCATAAAATACAGAGAAACCTTAAGATTGTGGATTTCTCTGTAAGTGATTAAAATCTCCCATCAGCAACTTTCGGACCACACAGTTTTTGTACATGTGGGAAAGTATGTGACTGGGCTATGTCTGCTTGCTATGGACTGTGATAGATGTGACAGGTACAAGCGACAGCTCTGTGACATTACTCTTGTCATACATGTGGGTGATTAGTGATTAGGAGGCTATTTTAGGATAAAGAGGAATGCTCAGCATAGCAATATCTGTGGTGACAAGGTAGAACACTTTCAAACATATCTGGGGGTCCCCTGATTCCATATTTACATCTTTATTTCATTGTCTGAAGGAAGGAAGAGAAGGGCAAATTCAAATGTTTACTCTGCCTCTCCAACTGTTTACCAATCCCTAAGAGACATCCCAGCTGTTCTCCTTCACCTTCTAGTAAAGAGGCTATTTTAATTAAGGTTGTTGACTAAATGCATACAATACAATATAATGACTCTAAACTGAGCTAAAAACAACAAAAGTAACCTTAAAAACAACCTTGTATGTGATAACTACTTTCAACTTGGGAAGAAATGCACAGATCAGACAGGCTTTAAAGAGAATTTTAGGGAAACTTCTAAACCAAACCAATACACTTACAGGGTTAAGAGTATACTACAGTAGCAAATATTTAATTTAAAAGTATCAGTATCCAACGTCTCCAGTTGAATCCATACATACATTTATAGTAGCTCATCTTTAATTTTTGTGCCATTAGTGTTTATTTCAGAAATAAAACCTGTCCTCTTGATCACTAATCACCCGTGTGTACAGCAAAAACACAATCCCAATGCTGTCACTTGTACCTGTCAGAGCCACTACAATCAGACACATCCCACTTGTACCTGTCAGAGCCACTACATACAGACACATCCCAGTCACATACATTTTTGCATGAGCAAAAGCTGTGTTCTTGTGATGAAATTATTTGATTTGAACCAGTAAGAATTTATATCCTTATAAAGCTATAAGCTGGTGGCAAGAAATTCTGTGTAATTTAGAGAAAGATTCATTCTTCTTAAGGCAACACTTGGCTATTTCAATTTCGGAATGATATTATATATAAAGTTGAATAATTTTATTTTTAAAGCAGTTTGTACAAATCTTTACATTCCACCAGATGAATAAGCTTCTTTAATGGCATATTAGACAGTTTAGAAAGTGTATTAAACCTTTAAAGCTCCGAGGTCACATGTTCCTAGGTTCATTTCCTGATACCAACCCTCAGTTTTGAGCTTCAAGCCTTAGGGAGCAGCTTACTCATACTGATGAGCATTTTGAATTTAGGCCAAAAAAAAAAAAAGCCCACAGTTCTAAGCTCCTAACAAAACATAATGGTCTACCTACATCCCAGGCAAAAGTTTCCAAGAGACCCATAGCTAATAAGATTGTAACTTTGTTCTGTGTTGCTCTTCATTGAAGGCATAATTCAATCCGAAGACAACTCAACTTGTCAAACCCGGACTTCAATATCCAGCAGCTTCAAAAACAGGAACAGTTGACTGGAATTGGTAGAATTAAACCAGAGTTATATAAGCAGAGGTCATTGGATAATGATGACGGGAGACAGAGTAACAGCAAGGCTTGTGGGAAACTGAACTTCATTTTAAAATATGACTGTGACTTAGAACAGCTCGTAGTGAAGATTCACAAAGCTGTCAATTTGCCCGCCAAGGACTTTTCTGGGACTTCAGATCCTTATGTCAAGATCTATTTGCTTCCTGATCGGAAAACAAAACACCAGACTAAAGTTCACAGAAAGACCCTGAACCCTGTGTTTGATGAAGTGTTTTTATTTCCGGTTCCCTACAATGACCTTGAAGCACGGAAGCTTCACTTCTCTGTGTACGACTTTGACAGGTTCTCTCGTCATGACTTAATCGGCCAAGTGGTGGTGGATCACTTCTTAGACTTGGCTGATTTCCCCAGGGAGTGCATCCTTTGGAAGGATATCGAATATGTCACCAATGTGAGTCCAGCATTTCTTCATTTTGGTGGTGGGGGGCATCTTAGTTAGCAGGAAAACAGATTACTTACACATTATCTTGAGGACAAAGTGTAAAATTCATATCAGTGTGCATGTAGCAATTATTTCAGAACCTCCTTGTACCTTTTCAGAAACAGGGTTTTAACAATATTGATTTTGAAGTTTCCAAGTGTTATTACATGCAAACATTAAAGAATAACTTTCTCTCTTTTCTACTTTCAGATTCTTAGCTAGTCCCTAAAAGACGCAGGTGTTATCTGTTCTCCATACCTCATTTTCTTTAGAGTTTTTTCAGGTTGTTTGTGCTAAATGCAACCCGGCATTCTATTAATCATAGTCTGCAGCTAAGAGACCATTACCTGACTCTGAGAACAGTAGGTACTTACCTGTGTTCTCAAGTTGGCTCAAGAGCATTTCCCATGATTGGATCCTCAACTTCAACCCTACAAGTGGGAGTGGTTGAGAAGAGTTGGAACCACATTTTTAAATGTAAAACTCACAAAATCCAAGCTACAAGGAGGGAAGTCTGGAAAGAAACTATAGATAATGGCAAAACTAATCTGTCGACAGTCACATCAAATTTAGCGCTCAGAAGAGAAGTCAAAGGTGCTGTGTAGTGGTACAACACATCTATGTCTACATTTTAAACACAAGATTTCAGAGGTGATATTTCTACTCCATTTACATCCTTTTCATTATCCTGTTGAGGTGTATTGGCATTCCAGAAATAGAAAGCAAAATTGAACATTTTTAGGTAACTCTGATATTTTAAGGCCACTTGTTTCTTTCACCTGTCCAAATTCCCTGAGATAACTTTGTTAGTTCCTCTTCTTGGATATGAAATATTCTGAGGCCAGCGTAGCTCTCTTTCTCTGCCATGGCATCCAAAGGGACCAAGCACCACCATCCTTATTCAGTTCAGACACTGATTCAGCTTGAGTCTGGAGCCTATTTAGTGAAAGACTAACCTCTGCCTAATGACCAAATAGCTACACCGGTACCCTCTTAGCCACTTTTATGAACTACGAACTCACCCATGCTTTGGTTGCCCTGTGGGACACCTTCTCTCCACATGCCACAAGGTTCCAGTGCCAGCTTTGTGCTGCTATCCAAATAAACAAAATGTAGCATGGGATTCTGCTGGCCTTTATCACAATGATGAGGAAAGAAAGGAGTTGGAGCTGGATTAGGTGCAAAGAATAGCAGCTGATGAAACCAAGGTGATTTGGGATACTGGCGAAGGAATAGGTCTCCTTATCTTAAAAGATAATAATACATGTAAACCCAACAATGGATGCTGGGGAAAGCAAGGATTGTCTCCCAAATCCCAAATGACAAAATCAGAAAGCAACATGAGAGAACTTTTAAAGAAACAAAATGGGAAGGCTGCTTATACAAAGATACCAATGGCTCAGGCATCACCCCTCTCACTGGGGTATTTACTAAGTCTTTCTGGTTATGGGAGCTGAGACACTGCCAGCTGCAGTGAGGTGCCTTGAACTTATGTCTTATCTCAGGTATGGTAGGGAGGTGTTGGTCACACCATCTAATGAGACATCAACTTATATTTTTTGACAAATGGATTCCATAAAATAGCTGGAGAGATTATTAGAAAGTTCAGTGAGGATGTTGCTGAGAGTTGCCTTCTAGAGACTTTGTGGTGAGAGCAACACTGACTGCACAGTGGCTGATACAAATCTGGATAAGGCTGATGATCCCTGGTGGGAACGACTCCTAGGACAGGTTCCTGTGGACAAGAATATGGAGTGGCAGGTGGTAGAGACCTTCTGGCTCTGAGATCACTGCCATTTCAGCATTCTCTTGGGAGTAAGGTTTTCTTTTCCATTGTTGGAAAATCCTGGATTTCCATAAGGAGAATGTGAAATTATTTATCAAGGAGGAAAACCAATAAACCTACAGGCTTCAGATTTCTCAGTTGTTTCTTCAGGCAAACAATAAATCTTTTGAGCATTGATCTAAGCCTTTGGATGGCCACGGGAGAGGGTAGGTCCTGTCAGTGAAATTACAGGCTATTTCATAGTCTGCCATATTTTTAAGTTCCATTTTTAAAAGTGTTATTTGGGACTGTGGGTTTTTTTTGTCTTTTTTTTTTTTTTTTTTTTTTTTTTTTACAGAGACTGAACATAAAGATCTGAGATTTGCCATGGTTCCCTTTTTATAATATAGAATGTATATAATATAGCAAATGTAATAATATGGATTAATGAAGGAATAATTAAATGAACAGGACTGAACCCACCATTTAGTTGAAGACTAGAACATTACCAGTACTTTTATTGACCCTCAAATTGTTCTCTATTACATTCCCTCTCAGTTCAGTCCTGCCAAGAGAAAACTACTATCTTTAATTTTACTTATATCATGATATTAAAAATACATATGCATATAGATATGACAATATGGGTTTAGGTTTTGTCTATTTTGGCCTTTTATAGCTCTTCTTTGACTAGTTTTTTTCCATTGGTCAACATTGATTATGGCATTTAATAATAGAAATAAGTAGAGCAGCTGTGGCTTATGTATCTTCATTGCTATATAATATTCCATTGTATTAATATTAATATATGACAAATTAGCATTCTTGTATTGATGATGTTCAGGATGTTATTAGTTTTTCTGTGATCCTGAATAATATTGCAGAGATTTTTGTACGCATCTTTTGGTTCACATATGCAATCATTTCTCTAGGGTGTATCCCTGATAGAGGTAAAGTATACATGTGTTCAACTTTTCTAGATAATGACAAAGTCTTTTTCAGTCATTTTCACATATCACAAATTGATCCTTCCACTGTTGAAATGTAATAATCCCTAGTGTTCCACTTTCTCTCCAACTCTTGCAATTGCCACACTGATTAATGTATGTGTGTGCATGTATGTAAAATTATGTATTATTGGTATTTCTTCAGTTGCCTGGTTTGACCATCTTTTGATATGTTTATTGGTCATTCATGTTTTCTTTCTTGTGAAAATTCTTGTTCAGCACTTACTCTAGTATTTTCCTTTCCTTGTTGATTCATATAGGCTCTTTAAGCAGTCGGGATGCAAATCCCTTGTTGGTTATGTGTTTTACAAACATCATCTCTCCGTTTATAGCTGTCTTTTTATTCACTTTATGGTGTCTTTAATAAATAGAGGTTATGTTTAGTTTAATAAAATGTGTCAATATTTTCCATTGTAAATTAGCGCATTTGTGTCTACTTAAGAAGTACTTCCCTATCCTATGTCAGAAAGATATTTCTCCTATGCTTTCTATTAGAAGTGTTAAGGTTTTGTCTTCCCCAATTATGATTTTAATCCATCTAGAATGGAAATGTTTATATAGTATGATATAGGCATCATATATCAGTCAGCTTGGACTGCCATAACAAAATACCATAAATTGGGCAGCTTAAACAATAGATATTTATTTCTTAGAGTTCTGGAGCCTGGGATATCCAAGACCTAGTTTCAGCAGATTCCATTCCTGGTGAGGCTCTCTTCCTGGCGCACCTTCTCACTGTGCCCTCATGTGATGGAGACAGGAAGACAGCTCTGGTTCTAGTCTCTTCTCTTCTTCTTATAAGGACACTAATCCTACAATGGGGGCCCCACCCTCATGACCTCATGTAAACCTAATTACCTCCCAAAGGCTTCATTTCCAAATACTGTTACAATCACACTGGGGATTAGAGCTTCAACATATAAATTGGGAGGGACAAAACATTCAGTCCATAACATATCCATATTTTTATTTTTCTATATGGGTAAACAATTTTCTGGCATATTTTCCCAATAATATGCACTGTATGCACTGTCCTATATAGATTTCTGTATATGCAGGACTTGTTTCTGGATTCTCTTTTCTATCCACTGTGATGTTTAACTATCTCTATGAATAGCACAATTTGCAAATTACTATTGTTCTATGATAAGCCTTAACATCTGGAAGGGCAAATCATCCAGCCTGCTTCTTTTTTAGTTCAGCCCTGGCTGGTATTTGACTTTTCTCACACATTTTAGAATCACATTGCCAAGTTAAATGCCCTTTTTTTGGTATTTGGATTTGTATGAAGTCTATTGATTAATTTATGAAAATTTTGTATCTTTTGTGATATTGAGTCTTTCTACACATGACCATGGTATATCTCTCCATTTACTTATTCATTTACATATTTCTTCTTTAAAGTTTTTTATTCAAAGCTTATAATTTTCTACATTAAGATATTGCATGAATCTTGTTAGATTTACTGCTAGGTATATTACTTTTTGTTCTTTTAAATGGTATCTT